TATTAGGGGTCCCTCCAAAAGTTCTCAGACATCTGCCTCATACCCAGGCTCCGGCTGCGAGTGCTGCGAGCCATTGGGGTAATATTAGGGTCATATTGGGGTTATCGTGGGATAATAGAAAATAAAATGGAAAGTACTATTTATGGTTTACGTTTTAGGGGTGTGTCCAGGCTCAGGGAACGGCGAGAGCAGGAAGCAAAGGAGGAGGAGGCACATAAATCGAAATTCGCCTAACTTTTTCGGGTGGGTTCCCCCTCTGGAAGGAGACGGCCATAGTCTACATATTTTTTGCTGGGAGGATATCTATTAATAACAGGGGGCGGGTGCTCTACCACTACTAGTGGGAGGTACTCATACTAGCTCTTATAAGCTTCAGGGAATATGCTTGGTCTAATCGCTAGCTGGGGTTTAAGGTTTAGACTTTTTAGGGTTGAGGGCTCGGCATCTTAAATTTCTACAGTTTAGGGTTTAGGGATTGGGGTGATCTGGTGGAGTCGACTATACGTGTTTAAGGCTTGGGGTCTGGGGTTTAGGGATTGAGGCCGGGCTTGCGAGGATCAACTCAGTCAGCGGATGTAGGTCAATGGTCAGGAGCTCCCAATACTCGTCGAGACTTGGGGGTTTAGGGCACCTGTTACGGTTCCTAATGGCGGCCAAGGATTCATTCAGGAAGGATCTACATGACAGGAGGATTCTTTCATGTTGATAACAAACCCTAAACCCTAAGCCGTCAACTCTCCTTGTTCACACATCTGGGTTCCGAATAACTGAGCAGGTCCGGTGTAAACCCTGCAGCCCTAAACCCTAAACCGTTTTCCTTTGGGTCCCCAACCCAGTGGTGGGTAAAACGCAAAGGACTATTGTAGGTATATTAAGACCCTATTACTCATATTAAGGGGCTATTTACTACTGCAGGGGGATTGCCAAAACACGAAACCACAGAGTAAAGCTTTGCGGACCCCAAACCCTAAACCCTCAACCCTAACCCCCAAAAACTGTCAAACCAGGACTGGGCACCCTAAGAAGCAAAAGGGTTTAGGGTTAAGGGTCTCCAGAAACTTAGCCCGCTGAGCCCCGCCCGCGGCTGCGAAATTTCGAGCCCCGCACCCCTCCAAATCCTGCGAAATGCCCCCCCAACCCTGAAACCGTAAGCCTAAACCCTATAAACCCAAACCCTATCAACCCTAGAAAACCTATAAACCCTACAACTCCAAACCCTAAAAACCCCTACAAACCCTAAAAACCCTACAAAACCTATAAAACCCTATAAAACCCTACGCCCGTCGACCCCTGAACTGGCAATCCGGTCGAAGCGCCCACATCCTTCGCGTTGGCCAATGAGGCGGCCAAGGCCACAATACGGATGGGCAGCTGCACCTTCGATCTTGCTGCTTGGGTTTTTCTTAAAGATTTAGGGAGCTAGGGGTTTAGGGCTTCTTAGGGTTTACAGTAGTTTACCAGAATTTTTGGGTTCAGGGTTTAGGGCTTAAGGTCTACCTGGAGATCTTGGTTCATTACAATCACGGTACACTGTTGAGATACAGTTGCCGCATATAGGGTGTTAGGGTTCAGGGTTTAGGGTTTGTGGTCAACTGGATCTCCAGGTAAAGTGTGGGGCTGCGTGCATCAACTCTGAAACCTTTTTTTTACAAAAAAAGGATTAAAACCCGAAACCCTAAACCCTAAACCGTATTTCAGCCTTGAAGCTCTTAATCCGATGCCTGCACCTGATGAGAGCTTCGAGCCCAAAACGGCACACACAGTTTCCAAACAGCCCACCCCCTTCAATTCCTTCCCTAAACCCGAAACCCTAAAACCTAAACCTAAAACGGTTCAACCTCCAACCGCCAGCCACCGTGGGGCCTGAACCCCAAAACCCTTGAAACTGAAACTCTCAGCCCTACAGCAAAGGGATATAGTGCAATGTATGGTTTAGCGGTTTAGGGCTTAAGGGTTTAGGGTTCAGGATTTAGGGTTTAGTCGTTACAGGGGTTATGTTATTAGTGGTTCAGGGGCGTCACATATGGGCTACATAGGAGATGCGGGTTTTAAGGTGTGGGGTTTAGAGTTTCCAGAAATTGGGGGGTCCCTGTTTAACAGGAGCCGCTATAAAGCGCATGACAATATATTGGGGTCTATCTTGGGGCCCCCGATCCATGGAAACTCTCGAGGGAATCCTGAACACAAAGCCCTGAAACCCTGAACCTCAAGCCCCAAACGCTCCGCCCTAAACCCTAAACCCTAAATTTCACAGACTAAGCCCTAAATCCTAAAACCTAAAACCTCAATTTTGAACCCTATATAACCCCAATATAACCTTAATATAAGCCCAATATAACCCTAATATAAGCCCACTTATGCCTTAAGCCCCAACCGCCAGCCTGCACGGAGATGTAGCGCATGCGGCTGACGACTGCCTGAAACGAAGGCTGGGGTGTTGGAGCCGAGGGTCTCGGGCTGTATATAGCGATTATATGGGGATTTCCCAAAATTAGGGAACCATTTTGGGGGTCTCAATAATAAGAACTATAGTATTTGGGAGTCTATATTGGGGTCCCCCTATTTTGGGAAACTGCCATATAGGTGTTATACAGAGGTTATATTGGGATGATGAAAAATAAAACGAAACTACTATAAATGGGGTTATATGTGGCTTAGGGTGTAGGGTCTAGGGCTTTAAAGGTCTAGGGTTCAGGGTTTAGGGCTTTAGGGTTTAGGCGTTTACCACTTTAGTGCTTGCAGGAGTAGATTTGTAAATGGTGATTCGTCTTTGTTTGCCCTTAAACCCCTTATTTACCCTTAACCCCTAGATAATCGATATAAAGACGCAGAGATTCGGGGGTGTATGGGGCCCCAAACCTACCTGGTTATGTAAATTACACTACAGCCAAAGACTACTTAAGTGCTAAGTCCACCTGCCCTTCCAAGTGTTGAGGGACTAGTATGGGACATATAGGGATGCATAGTGTTTAATTTAGGGTGTAGGGTTTACCCTGACTCAAGCGAACATGCATCCGGCCGAAGACATAGAATCAAGACTGCTGTCCTCTCTCAAGCAAGCTCTACAGGATTCTTACGGTTTAGGGTTTAGGGTTTAGGGTTAAGGGTTCTTAAGGTTTAGGGTTTAGGCTTAAGGGTTCTTAGGGTTTAGGGTTCTTAGGGTTTAGGGTTTAGGGTTGGCTGTGTTTTGGGGCTGCTTGGAATGAGGACTATACTTCTTTGCAGTGCACAACACTGAACCCCAAATCCTGATCTCCAGGTCCGAGCCCCTGCTGCAAACCCACGCCGCAAGTTACAAGTTCAAAGCCCTCCACCCTAAACCATGCCACAACTGCGAAGCCTAAGCAGTTGGTAAGAGTTCCCCCTTGGAACTTCTACACACTGTTCGTCTGAAGTCCTCCAACACCTTATTCAAATTAGCAAGCTCCGCTGTAGCACACACCCCCAAACCCAGCTTCCGTTGCACCTCGATGTTGGGTTAAGGGTTTAGGGTTTAGGTTTTGTTTCCCATGTGAGTCTCCATCAGTGACATTTCGGCCCCCACTAAAACCGAATCCAAGAGGGACCCAAGTGAAGGAAGCCCACTGCCAGAGAACCCCCCGAGTGGATCCGCGTACCTATATTCATTCCCACTCCCCTTACGCATCAGCAAGCCCCAAACCCTGAGACCCTAAACCCCACAGTAGCTTCCATTCTCCTTTCCATTCCACCCCCCCCGCCCCCCTGAAGTGCCAAAAACCCTCAACCCCGGAAACCCGAAGCCCCAAAAAAAACTAGACCCTAAAGCCTGCAAGGGTAACGGAGAGCCTTAAACCTTACAACCTGAACCCTAAACCCTAAATGCTAAATAGTAGTTTCCATTTTCTTTTCCATTATCCCAATACAACCCCTAGACATCCCTTACAAGGCCCAAATTGTAAGCCCTAAGCCCTAAAAACTAAACCCTAAACCCCGTGGGACTACCACAGGGCCTCGAGCGTCGGCCCGACATCGCTGTCCAACAGGTGTAGCTCGTCCTTAGCGGTTTCAGAGGTTTAGGGATATATATACATATATATATATATATATGGGCGGTTGTCAAAATTATGGTCCCTTTTTGGGTACCCTAAGTATTAGGGGCCGTATTATAATTGGGATCCAAAAAGGGACCATAATTTTGACAACCACCCATATGGTAGATAGGGATGCATGGGGACCAGGGTTTAGGGTTTAGGGTGATGGTTTCCCAAGATGAGGGGAACGTTTTTGGGGGTCCCCATAGTAAGGATTATCATCTAGGGATGTGTAGGGCTTAGGGCTCAGGGTGTTGTAGGGGTATCGGGTTTAGGGTTTTGAGGTTGGTTGGGGCCAGGGTTTTAGGGATTCAGGCCTTGGGATTCTTGGGGTGCTTTAAGACCGCAATCCCAACCCCAAATGGGTGGTTGTCAAAATTATGGTCCCTTTTTGGATCCCTATTATAATATGGCACCTAATATTTAGGGTACCCAGAAAGGGACCATAATTTTGACAACCACCCATATATTCCCAGTATGGTGTCAAGTCATCCTTGGAGTAGGGCTGTGGTGTATTTAGTCATTCTCAGGCTCATGCTTCT